TCTAAATCGGAAGCGATTTTCACGAAACATAGCACACATCATTCTGGACCTAATTCAGAACTCTATGCCAAATTTCGTGCAAATCGAAAGATATATAGGGAATTTGGAGCCCCATTTACCTTAAATCGTACGAAACTATATACGGGAGCTATATATAAATCTGGACCAGGTATAAAAGGATATAAAAATCCACATCTATTTAAGTCTTTGAAAATTTAGTTTTAAAAACTCCACTCCTATTTGGGTCAGAGAAAAACTAATTTAAACTAATCCTGAAGCTACTCCTTGAAAACAATATTTAAAAAAGCCAGTGAGCGGAGACGTATAGTCGGACGGGGCCGAGCATTTGATACCCTACACAACTTCCACGGAAATCTAACTTTCTGTGGCACTACATTCTGAGCTATGGTAATATTTCGCGATATTTGGACCCTATTGACCGAATAGAGGTCCATAAATATTATTAATATTCAGTACAGCCCTTCTAATTACTTGCTCAGATTCTCTTCACCGTAGGTTGTGTTGTGATATTCGGCTTCCAACTGTGGCCTATAGATGGACTCGAAAAAACACAAAAAATTAAGTTTTCGGTCCACTTCATCCCAAAATTATTGTCTGATCATCACCGAAAATTATAGGCGTTGTCCTTGACCATACCTGGATCCTCATGGAACATTTCAAAGCGATTAGCGCTATATTTTCGCCCTCTAGTGGGGTAATGGGTTACTAAATAATATATGAATACGTAAGCACCTGTAAATATGTAAGTGTAAGTTCCACATCCGAGTACGTACTACCATATACTTGGTATCTATTTTAAGGTCAACCACTCCTCTTGGATATAATATCAATTTATCGTGTCTATGTCCTTCAGGAGTAAATATATACACTATAGAATACACATTTTGTAATATTTCACACAAAAGTCAGGGTCCATTTGACCCGCTAAATATTGACCGATCTTTATCAAAACAGGCATGCTTACTCGTTGTCCCGATCCCCTTCTGTTTGTAAAAATTCGCAATGTTTGGACCATAATTGCGGCCGCTGGAGCGACCAGAAAATCAGACAAAAATAAAGTTTTTGGTCCATTTCATCCCTTAAATATTAACCGATCTTTACCAAAAAACAATAGGGGTCTTCATTGACCAGAACCCACCCTACATGCAAAATTTCCTGAAGATTGGTCCATAACTGTGACCTGTATCGTGTTTACAAATTATAATGGACGGACGGACGGACACACATGTCTAGATCGACTCAGCTAGTCGAGATATGACGATCGGTATACTTAAAGCTGGGTTTAGGACCAATATTTCGTTGCGTTACAAATTCTTGGGGCTGCACAAAGCTATAATACCCTGACAAAATAGTTGTGTAGGGTATAAAAACCAGTGAGCGGAGCAGTATAGTCGGACGGGGCCGACCATTTGATACCCTACACAACTTCCACGGAATTCTAACTTTATGTGGCACTACATTCTGAGCTATGGTAATATTTCACGATATTTGGACCCTATTGACCGAATGGAGGTCAATAAATATTATTAATATTCAGTACAGCCCTTCTCATTACTGGCTCAGATTCTCTTCACCGTGGGTTGTGTTGTGATGTTCGGCTTTCAATTGTGGCCTATAGATAGACTCAAAAAAAAACACAAAAAAAATAAGTTTTCGGCCCACTTCAACCCATTATTATTAAATGATCATCATCGAAAATTATAGGCGTTGTCCTTGACCATACCTGGATCCTCATGGAAAATTGCAAAGCGATCAGCGCTATATTTTCGGCCTCCAGTGGGGTATTGGGTTACTAAATAATATATGAATACGTAAGCACCTGTAAATATTTAAGTGTAAGTTCCACATCCGAGTACGTACTACCATATACTTGGTATCTATTTAAAGGTCAACCACTCCTCTTGGATATAATATCAATTAATCGGGTCTATGTCCTTCAGGAGTAAATATATACGCTATAGAATACACATTTTGTAAAGTCAGAGTCCATTTGACCCGCTAAATATTGACCGATCTTTATCAAAACAGGCATGCTTATTCTTTAGCCCGATTCCCTTCTCCATGTAAAAAATCGCAATGTTCGGGCCATAATTGCGGCATCTGGAGCGACCAGAAAATCAGACAAAAATAAAGTTGTTGGTCCATTTCATCCCCTAAATATTAACCGATCCTTACCAAAAAACAATAGGGGTCTTCATTGACCAGAACCCATCCCACATGCAAAATTTCCTGAAGATTGGTCCATAACTGTGGCCTATAATGGATAGACGGACGGACGGACACACATGTCTAGATCGACTCATCTAGTCAAGATATGACGATCGGTATACTTAAAGGTGGGTCTAGGACCAATATTTCGCGGCGTCACAAACTCTTGGGGCTGCAAATAGCTATAATACCCTGACAACATAGTTGTGTAGGGTATAAAAACCAGTGAGCGGAGCAGTATAGTCGGACGGGGCCGACCATTTGATACCCTACACAACTTCCACGGAATTCTAACTTTATGTGGCACTACATTCTGAGCTATGGTAATATTTCACGATATTTGGACTATTTGAATGGAGGTCAATAAAAATTAATATTCAGTACAGCCCTTCTGATTACTTGCTCAGATTCTCTTCACCGTGGGTTGTGTTGTGGTGTTCGGCTTTCAACTGTGGCCTATAGATGGACTCGAAAAAAAACACAAAAAATTAAGTTTTCTTTCCACTTCATCCCATTATTATTATATGATCATCATCGAAAATTATAGGCGTTGTCCTTGACCATACCTGGATCCTCATGGAAAGCTTCAAAGCGATCAGTGCTATATTTTCGCCCTCTAGTGGGGTAATGGTTTACTAAATAACATATGAATACGTAAGCACCTGTAAATATTTAAGTGTAAGTTCCACATCCGAGTACGTACTACCATATACTTGGTATCTATTTAAAGGTCAACCACTCCTCTTGGATATAATATCAATTTATCGGGTCTATGTCCTTCGGGTGTCAATATATACGCTATCGAATACACATTTTGTAATTTTTCACACAAAAGTCTGGGTCCATTTGACACGCTAAATATTGACCGATCTTTTTCAAAACAGGCAATGTATTATTGTAAAAACAATGTTTGGACCATAAGGCCGCTGGAGCGACCAGAAAATCAGACAAAAATAAAATTTTTGGTCCATTTCATCCCCTAAATATTAACTGATCTTTACCAAAGACAATAGGGGCCTTCATTGACCAGAACCCATCCTACATGCAAAATTTCCTGAAGAGTGGTCCATAACTGTGGCCTGGTACAAAACTGTGGCCTGTGGGTTTACAAATTATAATGGACGGACGGACACACATGTCTAGATCGACTCAGCTAGTCCAGATATGAAAATCGGTATACTTAATGGTGGGTCTAGGACCAATATTTCGCTGCGTTACAAACTCTTGGGGCTGCACAAAGCTATAATACCCTGACAAAATAGTTGTGTAGGGTATAAATACACTTCCTTGAAAGGTAATTTTAAAAATTCAAGCCTATTAATGGTGAAATTGGATCCATTCTGCAACCGATACTAAAATTTTCATTTGGTCAGATATAGAAGCTATATCTAAATCTGAACCAATTTTCAGGAATAACACACATCATTCTAGGCGTAATTCATTACGCTGTGCCAAATTTCGTGCAAATCGACAGATATATAGGGACTTTGGTGGACCATTTACATTAAATCGAACGAAAATATATATGGGAGCTATATCTAAATCTAAACCGATTTTCAGAAAACTTAACACACATCATTCTAGGCCTCGTGTAATTTTACATGGAGAAGGGGAACGTGCCAAAGAATAAGCATGCCTCTTCTGATAAAGATCGGTCTATATTTAGCGGGTCAAATGAACCCTGACTTTTGTGTAAAAAATTACAAAATTTTTAATGTATATATATATATATATATACATATATATGTATATATATACATATATACATATATACTTTTTTACATATTATGTTACTTGAAAAAATATCTATTTTAAACCATCCATTTTCTGCGAATAGAATCTTAAAATATATTTTTTGTTGAATTTCTTTGGAAAATAATATCTGCCTAGATCTTATCTCAATATCCGTTAATGTTCTTGTTGGAGTAGAAAAAATTGAAATTATTCTTTTGACATGTAATTGATGAGATAGACACTTGGAAATTCTAAGGAATAAAATTTAATTTTTTTCTGCTGCAAAAAACAAATCAATGAAATGTTGTGGAAATGTCATTTAAAATTTCAGCCGATTTAATCGTTTTTACAATAAAGGACGCGAACCAAACCATTTGAAATTCATGTCAAGTGCCATTTAGAAAAAAAAACAAGATAAACAAACAAAAGAGGCGGTCTAGTCAGCCACCCGGACAGCCAACTGGAGTACAATGAATTAATTATAACAATTAATAATGGGCGAACGAAGGCCTGACCAAAACAAAACATGACTAAAAGTGAGCAAAATCTATGGCAAAAAGTTCAGTTGAATGTGAGGCCACTGCAATTCAAGAGGTGTTCGAGTTTTATATTTGCAAAATTTATTTCAGTTTCGCCTTCGCCTTGAGGCAATAATGAAATTATTAAATAATTTCAATGTGAAAATATCCAAATATAGAAAAAATGCAAAAAAGTTTACCAAGTCCCAGAAGAATGGTGGCGGCGGGTAGGTGGTATTAGAATTTTTCACAATACTTGACAGCTTGTCTGAGACTAATTTTTATTTGTTTTTTTTTTTTCGAAAAAAAATTGAATAATGTATTTCATGGTAATGAATGAAATCTGAAAAGCATGTTACACACGACTGCCTTTCAATGGCCAATGTGAATTGAAAATAAAAAATTTAAATCGATTGGCCTTCATTTAAAAATCTATAAATAAATGAAAATCATTCTTTTCGAATACTCCTTCTCACAAAACCCCAAAATTGTATTCAAATTTCAGTTTGGCTGCTACTACGAACAATGACATTTCGGCAAGCAAGAAATTACCTGTCACCCGGCCACAGGGCTTACGAATGCAAATAATTAGCGATTCAGACCACTATCATGAGTATTTCACCTCAAGAACCGAGGTGCCGAACAATGAGCATTATTTGGAAAAGCCACCAAGTAAGTTGATGATTGTCTTTTTGTTTCACCACAGTTGTTCTTGTTGTTGTTATTGTTGCTTCTGCTGATTGGAATTGAATTTGTGTCCCTTCTATGCTACAGAATTTCTACAGAAAGCCACCAAGGATAATTTTATGTATGAAGGTCATTTTCATGAGGCCGTGGGCAAAAGTAAGTAAAATTGTATATTTGTATGTCAGTTTGTGAATAAAGGGGCCAATTGTAAAGTGGGGATAGGCAAATTGATTGAAAGGAGTTTTAACGCAACATATTCACCAAGGACTAATTCAGGCTTGTATTAATTACAAATATTTTTTTCAAGGACTAAATAGAGGTTTGGTAGGCGAAACAGAAAATATATATAACAGAAAATATAGGGGTCGGATATGGGTGTGGATTTTTATAACAACGTGGATTTTTTGGACGTGGATTTTTTTGTTTTTCAAGTAGCTATTACTTGGTTTCATTATTATACCCTTCACCACACTGTGGCACGGAGTATTATGGCTTTGTGCATATGTTTGTAATAGGCAAAAGGAAACGAGATAGACACATGGTTCCTTTTGAGAATCAGCATAGAATCACTTTCAAAGTCGATTTATCCATGTCCGTCCATCCGTCTGTCTGTCCATGCTAAAGTGTAAACATAGAACCGGTAGCATTTATGATTCGAATTGGATGAACTTTGGCACAGCTCATTTATTTGGCCCAAGGACGAACCCTATTGAAATTGAGAAAAAAATTGGTTCAGATTTAGTTATATCTCCCATATATATTTTCGTCCTTCGATTTGCCCGAAATTTGGCACAGCGTACTAAATAAAGTCTAGAGTGATGTGTGTTAAGTTTCGTGAAAATCGGTTCAGATTTAGATATAGGTCCGATATATATTTTCGTCCGATTTTAGGTAAAAAGTGCATCAAACTCCCTATATATACTTCGATTTGCACGAAATTTGGCATAGCGTACTGAATTAAGTTTAGAATTATGTGTGTTAAATTTCGTGAAAATTGATTCAGATTTAGATATAGCTTCCATATATAGTTCTTCCGATTTTAGGTAAAAAGTGCACCAAAATCTCTATATATCTTTCGATTTGCACGAAATTTGGCATGGCATACTGAATTGAACCTGGTATGATGTCTGCCAAGTTTCGTAAAAATCGGCTCATATTTAGATATAGTTCCCAAATAAAGTTTAGTCCGATTTTATAGAAATGGTGCACCAAAGTCCCTATATATCTTTGGATTTGCACGAAATTTGAAATAGGGTACTGAATTGCGTTTAGAATGATGTGTGCTAAGTTTCATGAAAATCGGTTCAGATGAATATATAGTTCCCATATATATTTTCGACCGATTTAATAGAAATGGTGAACCAAAGTCCCTATATATCTTTGGATGTGCAGAAAATTTGGCATAGCGTACTGAATTAAATGCAGAATGATGTGTGTTAAGTTATGTTTCGTGAAAATCGGTCCAGATTTAGAAATAGCTCCCATATATACTTTCGTCCGATTTTAGGTTAATAGTGCACCAAAGTCCCTATATATCCTTCGATTTGCCCGAAATTTGTCATAGCGTACTAAATTAAGTCTAGAGTGAAGTGTGTTGAGTTTCGTAAAAATCGGTTCAGATTTAGATATAGCTCCCATATATATTTTCGTCCGATTTTAGGTAAAAAGTGCATCAAACTCCCTATATATCCTTTCATTGGCACGAAATTTAACATAGAGTAGTGAATTAAGTCTGGAACGATGTGTGTTAAATTTCGTGAAAATCGGTTCAGATTTAGATATAGCTACCATATATATTTTCGTCCGATTTTATGAAAAAGGTGCACCGAAGTCGTCGTATATCCTTCGATTTGCACGAAATTTGGCATAGCGCACTGAATTAAGTCTAGAACGATGTGGGTTAAATTTCGCGAAAATCGGTTCAGATTTAGATATAGCTGTCATAAATATTTTCGTCCGATTTAATAGAAATGGATTTGCACGAAATTTGGCATATGGTACTGAATTGAGTGTAGAATGATGTGTGCTAAGTTTCGTGAAAATCGATTCAGATTTACATATAGCTCCCATATATATATATATATATATATATATATATATATATATTCGTCCGATTTAATAGAAATTGATTTGTGCGAAATTTGGCTTCGTAAGACTCGGTTTAGATTTAGCTATAGTTCTCATATATATTTGCGTCAGATTTTAACTGAACTGCGTCTAGAATGATGTGTGAAAATCGGTTTAGATATAGATATAGCTCCCATTTATATTTTGAAACGACTCTAGATATTGCCGAATGAAATTAAGTTTAGCATCGGTTCCAGATCACATATTCAAGTTTCTCAATGTTCTTTCGAAAAGGCGGAGTCTGTTAGGAGACATCTGTACAATATACCAAAAGTAATGAAGGGTATAATATAGTCGGCCCAGTCCGACTTTACTATTTTCCTTACTGGTTTTTGAATATTTCTGTCATATAAAAATCATTTGTTCGTCTATTCCTTAAACAGTTCTTCTGATCGCCCAATGTTTTGCCATGATGCCAGTACGTGGTGTTACAATGTCACATCCTCGCTATCTGTCCTTCTCCTGGACTCATATTCGGACAATTTTCTGTATGATTTTTATCACCTGCAGTACCGTGGACACTTTTATAGCCATCTATAAGGTACTGAATGGACCGATAACATTTAATAATATTGGTAAGTGAAACAAACAATTGCAAATTGAAATTTAAACATTTTCAAAAAATCTTAAAAAACGAGTTTTAAGAAAATTTGAAAACTAAGCACTTTATTTTCGTTTTCACTCCATTTCATTTGAAAATTCGTTGCAGAACCAATGATTTTTCGCATTACCATTCTAATTGTTTGTGTGTGTGCTCTACATTTGGCCCGCCAATGGCCGGAACTAATTGTCCATTGGTATAACCTGGAGCAGCAGCTACCGCCATACCCCTCGCAAAAGGATAAACGCCGCATGGCTGATAAAATTCGTATGGTGTTCTTTGTCGGAATGATGTTGTCGTTGGGTAGGTATGGCCGGTGTTTTGATTTTCTCAATGCAAAATTTGCAGGTAATGAAATGATTTTGAGTTGCGTTTTAAGATAAACACAGCGATAATGACCCCTCGGAATGACAAATGAACAATTTTGCAAAATAACACCCACATTTGAATGGCATTCAAAAGTTTTGTCAAATGGAAAAACGAAATGTTTTTTTTTTGTCGCAACTTAAAATGTCATTTGTTTGAAGATTTTTGTTTTGTAAATAAAACTGACAAAAATTCGGAAAAGATTTATTGCTTTCCCTTAATGGCTATAAAGTATTTGGAGGAGAGTGTCAATATCCAAAAGGCATTTTATCTATGGTCACAAAGTCATGTCATTACTTAAATAAAACCAAAAAAATTAAAAATTCACGCTTGAAATATATAAAGAAATTCGCTGAAATCTGACAAAATATTCTAAAAATCTGAAAAATTACATTTTTTAAAGATCTAAAAAATATATTTTTACAAAAAACGAAAAATACATTGGCTATCATTATCTCCTTGAAAGATATTTTTAAAAAACCCACACCTATCCTCTAGCCTCTTGAACATACTTAAAAAATTCAAGCCTATCATTGGCTCTCCAAAAAAAAAAAAAATATTTAAAAAACCAGTAAGGAAAGTAGTAAAGCTGGTCTGGGCCAACTATATGATACCCTTCACCACTCTGGGGGTATTCTACATATGTATCCTAGGTTAGGTTTGGGGATGTGCAGTCACATGTGTGATTGCAACACTCTGAGACCGATTAGGTCCGTTGTGATCATCCACAAGAAGAGATACAGCGAAGTGAAGAGACCAGAGAAAGATCTGTAGGGGAGAGAAGATTAGTGAATTAAAGGAGTGAAGAATGAAGGTCGATGGCCCTATGAGTCAGACAGAAAAAGTGTTACGTGCCAAGGTTGTATGCTCCTAACCACTTTATGTTTCTAATTATGCTGTAGATTAGAGCAGGTTTGGTTGTTGAGAAGAGGTTGAGACTAGGTAGAAAATGAGCACCCATTAGTCTGTGTCGCCTATAAGCCAAGGCTGGGCACTGGCACAGGAGATGCTCAATTGTCTCCGTCTCCTCCTCGTCAACACAGAGTCTACAGTAATCAATTGCATCGAGATCCCATTTACTATTAAAAGCCCTGATGTTGCAGTGACCAGTGATGATTCCTGTCACCACTCTAATTTCGGCTTTACTCAGGTTCAATAGCGAGCGCGTTCTTTTGGTAGACAGAGTCGGCCAAATGGACCTTGACACGTTGCACCTAGGTTCGTTGTGCCAAAGTTCACTGGCTGTTTCGTCAAAGAATTCCTATAAAAAAGACAAATGGGTGGTTTGATTGTGTCATCAGTTTCTAGATCGGTGGATTGAGATCCTCGTTTAGCTAGTTTGTCCGCTCTTTCATTACCCAATGTCCTGGTACCCGACACAACCGATAGCTATGGTTAAGTTCTTCCAGAGCTGCTCTACACTTGAGGACGACTTCGGATTTGATGTGACAAGATTTGATGGCTTTAAGAGCCGCTTGACTATCCATAAAGATAGTCACCGGTTCAACGACCTCAGCATCCAGACTTTTCATCAATTCCGCTGCCTTCCAGATCGCGAAGATTTCAGCTTGGAAAACACTACAGTTGCTATCCAGCTTGTAGGTTAACTCAAGGCCTAACCTTTCACAGTAGACGCCTGCACCAGTACCTTCTTCCATCTTGGATCCGTCTGTATAGAAAGCCAGACCGTCCAGAGGAGGGTTACTTCGTTTCCAGTCGTCTCTACTAGGAATAACGACATCTACATCGTCAAATCTAAGGATTGGTGATATATAGTCGCTTAGTTTAACGCGTTGGTCCAAAGCTATACCTGGTTCATTCAGAACACTACTATGACCTAAGGTACAGTTCCGCCAGAGTTTTTGTTCATGCAGCCGTAGGGCGCTACGCGCAGCTTGACACTTAATGCTGAGGCCCAAAGGCTTGACATACAGCATTGCGTTCAAAGATGCTTGTTGCGCACTCCTTCTGGCTCCTGTAACTAAAATCGCGGCGGCTCTTTGTACCTTGTCTAATTTACTGGATGTCGACTTGAGGCTCAGACACTTCCACCAAACAAGAGAGCCATAGGACAAGATGGGCTTCACCACAGTGTTATACATCCAGTGTATAGTCGATGGTTTTAGCCCCCAGCTTTTCCCAATGGAGTTCTTGCATGCATAGAGTGCAGTCATTCCTCTCTTCGCCCGCTCCTTTTCCATCGTAGTTGACAGTCCAGGATTGTGCCGAGGAACTTTGCTTCGGGAGATAGGTGAAGTTGCACTCTATCCAATGTTGGTGAAATAAAAGCGCCGAGCTTACGCTTCCTAGTAAACATTACCAGTTCCGTCTTCGTTGGATTTACACCAAGACCATTTGCCCTGGCCCAGCGTGACAGCGTCAGTAAGGCTCTTTGCATAAGCTCAGAGATCGTAGACGGAAATTTTCCGGAGATCAATGTCACCACGTCGTCCGCGTAAGCTACAACTTTGATACCTATCCCGTCCAATTTCCCTCAATATGATATTAATAACCAGTAGTCATAGTAACGGCGAAAGCAACCCTCCTTGAGGTGTGCCTCTAGTTACCGTTTTCCTGATTTTTGCATCCCCGACACTTGAATTTATAATCCTGCTGTTAAGCATTTTATCTATCCAATATGTCAGGGTATCAGGAATGCCAACTTCCCTAAGTGAGTGGTTTAAGGATTCAAGTTTAACGTTGTTAAAGGCTCCCTCTATATCTAAGAAGGCAGCCAGCGTAAAATTTGAATTTTCCATGTTCCTCTCAATGTAGCCTACCACTTCGTGCAGTGCAGATTCCACAGACTTGCCCTTTATGTATGTGTGACATATGTATCCTAACAGACGTCGCCTTTTTAAAGGAACATTGACATGAAATTGAACGAACTTAAATATGCGATCTTTATCTATAAGTAAACCGACTTACATCAATTCCAACACAAGCCGTTCTGCAACCTATTCCATACTTTGTCTATAGATTCTGGACCTAATTCAGTACCCTGCGCCAAATTTCGTACAAATCGAAAGATATATATGGACTTTGGTGCCCCATTTACCTTAAATCGGACGAAAATGTATATGGGAGCTATATATAAATCTCAACCGATTTTCTCGAAACTTGGCACACACCATTCTAGACTCAATTCAGTACACTACACCAAATTTCGTGCAAATCGAAAGATATACAGGTACTTTGGTGAACCATTTACCTTAAATCGGACGAAACTATATATGGGAGCTATATCTAAATCTGAACCGATTTTCTCGAAACTTGGCACACATGATTCTGGACCTAATTCAGTATACTACGCCAAATTTCGCGCAAATCGAAAGATATATAGGGTCGTTGGTGCCCCATTTACCTTAAATCGGACGAAAACATATGGGATCTATATTTAAGTCTGAACCGATTTTCTTGAATTTCAATAGGGTTCGTCCTTGGGCCAAATATGTGACTTGTGCCAAATTTCATCCGCAGTGTGTTGAAGGATATAAACATTCAAGCCTACAGTGGCTCTTTGAACAATATTTTTATGAGATCCAAGCCTGTGGGACACTTTTAAAAAATCTATAATTTTTCGAATATCTAAATTTTGTAGCCGAACATTTGCTAAGTGTAACCCAGGCCATTTATTATGCGGCGCGTTGTGGAGCCACCAGTGACCCGGTAAAAAATTTCCTACTCATTGCCAGCGATCATTTGTTCTATATTTTCCCCTATTCCTATTGGCTGGGTTGGTATGGCAAGCTGTTGAATGTGATGTCAACATTTATATGGAACTACATGGATATATTTGTGATGATAATGAGTATCGGTCTGACCCATATGTTTAAACGGGTCAATGAAAATTTGGAAAAATTCAAGAATAAGGTATTTTTTTTAATATTTTTTCTTTCAAGCAATGAAATATTCGGTTTCCCTTCCAGCAAATGCCGGCTGTGTTTTGGGCTGAGCGTCGTGTTCAATATCGTAACGTGTGCATCCTTTGCGAAAAAGTGGATAATGCCATATCGATGATTACCATGGTGTCCTTTTCAAATAATTTATATTTTATTTGTGTGCAATTGCTGAAGAGTTCGAAGTGAGTCGGACGGGTGGAAAAGTAATTCCCATTTTTTTAAATTTTTTTAAATATATTTTAGCAATATGCCCTCGGCCGTTAGCGTGGTATATTTCTATTTCTCTTTGATATTTTTATTCTTACGCTCGCTGGCTGTGTCCCTTTATGCGGCAGCTATTTACGATGAATCACGTAAACCATTGCGGGTGCTGCGTTCGGTACCCAAGGAATCTTGGTGTCTGGAAGTCAAAAGATTTGCAGCTGAAATTAGCAGTGATTTGGTGGCATTGAGTGGCATGAAATTCTTTCATTTGACAAGAAAATTGGTTCTGAGTGTAAGTTGATGATGATGATGTGCCGGAGATTGTGGTCAGCCGGCAGGGACATTCTTTCACATTGTCTTTATCATCATCACACAGTATTCACTTTGTCATTTTTTTTTGTTATATTGCATACTTTTGCAGCCTACTTATTATTATTGGCTACAACAGTGATCGGCATTTCAAGATCGGTAGATGATTGAAAAAATATTTGTAAAAAAAAAACAGTAAGGAAAGTAGTAAAGTCCGACTGTATGATACCTTTCCACTTTGGATTCAGCAGTTGAATACTAACAGACGTCGCATTTTTAAAGGACCAGTAAAATGAAATTGGATTCATAAACATGTCATTCTGCAACCGATACAAATTGTTTAATATCGTCAGATATAGAAGCTATATCTAAATCTGAACCGATTTCATGAAACTTAACACACATCATTCTAGACCTAATACATTACGCTGTGCCAAATTTCGTGCAAATCGAAATATATATGGGGACTTTGGTGCACCATTTACATTAAATCGGACGAAAATATATATGGGAGCTATTTCAAATCTGAACTGATTTTCAGGAAACATAACACACATCATTCAAGACCAAATTCATTACGCTGTGCCAAATTTCGTGCAAATCGAGTGATATATAGGGATTTTGGTGCATTATTTACCTAAAATCGGACGAAAATATATATGGGAGCTATATCTAAATCTGAACCGATTTTCACGAAATTTAACACACGTCGTAATATGCTTAATTCAGAATGCTATGCCAAATTTCGTGCAAATCTGAGGATATATAGGGACTGTGGTACACTATTTACCTAAAATCGGACGAAAATATATATAGGAGCTATATCTAAATCTGAACCGATTATCACGAAATTTAACACATATCGTCCTAGGGTTAATTCAGAACGCTATGCGAAATTTCGTGCAAATCTGAGGATATATAGGGACTTTGGTACACTATTTACCTAAAATCGGACGAAAATATATATATGGGAGCTATATCTAAATCGGAACCGATTTTTAAGAAATTTAACACACATCTTTCTAGACTTAATTCAGAATGCTGTGTCAATTTTTGTGCAAATCGAAGGATATATAGGGACTTTGGTGCACTATATACCTAAAATCGGACAAAAATATATATGGGAGCTATATCTAAATCTGAACCGATTTTCACGAAATTTAGCACACGTCGTTATATGCTTAATTCAGATTGCTATGCCAAATTTCGTCCAAATCGAAGGATATATAGGGACTTTGGTACACCATTTACATAAAATCGGACGAAAATATATATGGGAGCTATATCTAAATAAGTGAACTGTGCCAAATTTCATCCAAATCGGATCACAAATGCGACCAGTACTTGGTTAACAAAAATACATGGACGGACGGACAGGCGGACATGCATAAATCGGCTTAAAAAGTGATTCTATGCATATTTTCAAAAGGAACCATGTGTCTATCTCGTTTCCTTTCGCCTGTTACAAACATATGCACAAAGACATAATACCCTGTACCACAGTGTGGCGAAGGGTATAAAAAATCACGCCTTTGGTAGATGCTTGAAAAAGAATATGATAAAACCACACCTTTAGTAGATGCTTATTTTTTTAGCATATGTTGATACTTTACGCCTATATATTTTGATAAAATCCACGCCTGTTTTGAGAGGCTGACAAATATTTTTATATAAATATGGCTACTTCAAAAAATATTTTTATAAAATCCATTCCATCCAACCATTAACAAAAGCCTTAACAAATTTTGCCGACCACTGTATTTTCCCTGACAAACTGCTGACCAATTGTGCTCAGGAATTCTGAATAGCAGTTACACTGTATTATTGAAATTCCAATGCTGTTTTTATTGAGTCGAATTTATTTACTAAGAAGTATTTTCGGATTACAGGACAATCAGCCAGCCAGCCAGCCACCCAATCAGGCCATATAGTACTTAACATTGATAGCTATTGTTTGCCATCATAGAGTGGTCTAGTCGAATTAAAGGAATGCATCGAAGAATGGGGGAATAGAAGTAGAGCAAAGCATTTTGGGGGTTCTTTGATTTACTTGAACAATAGAATCCTTGATTAATTGTTAGCTAACTGAGAAAAGGTGTGAGAGATGCCAGCTAACAACTGTTCAAAAATTTCGTTAGGTTTGCAAAAGTACGCTGGATTTTGTGGAAATGCCTGTGGGACAAACAAAAATGGGATACGTTTTTATTTTTACGCTTGGCTGATTACTTTATTCGAAGTAAACAATGCTAACATAGATAGAATAATTGTCTTCTTTAATAAGAAAAAAATTAAACTTGGAATAGATGTCATTGAATGTGGTAAAAAAGTTAGGGGAGATCCCCTTGTAATCAACTGAAAATATACTTCTTATGCCGAATAATCACAAAAATAGAGGACAATTATAAACAAGTTTATGTGGAAGTTTAATGTGACCTAATATATACCAATTTCTATTTTTTTTCAGTCCGTTTTCCATCAAATATCCCCATCTAAGTATTACACAATATACATCTCCATTTGTTTTCATTAAAGTACAATTTTATTTTTCCATCGTCTTATTCGTCTTATTTTTATTTTATATGGCTGAGATAAGAAAGGAAAGAAAATTCTTATTCCTTATTTCCTTTTTGCTCCGTTCTTTATCTCGTCTCTTTCAGGTGGCCGGTACAATTGTCACCTATGAATTGGTGTTAATACAATTTTACGAACGAACCAATCTTAAATATTATATATATATATATATATCATATATATTATCTGTTCTTTATAAGTCATTAAACACCAAACAGAATTAAACATTCTGTCGCTCAACTGACCGCATAAATAAACCGTATATGATTTTTTCTTCATTTTATATTCTTGTATTTGTCACTTCATTACTCGTAATGTGTGTTTGGTATTAATATTACCCAGTTAACCTATATGGACAACAAAATCAAAGGAAAATATCCTCATGTTCCATATAGATGATATTAAATGCACGACTACTTGAAAACATATTTTTTAAAAATTCAGGCCTATAGTAGCTACTTGAAAAAATATATTTTTAAAAAAATCCTCGCCTATAGTAGGTTTGGATACCCTCCACTAACAGATACTAGCATCGAAAATATAGGAAACATACCGTTGTATTTGCACGCACTTCCTTATACTGCATATATTAGAATATTATCAATATTCAGTACAGCCCTTCTAACTACTTGTCCATATTCCCTTCACTATATGCGCCATAGAATACAAATTTTGTAATTTTGCACACAAAAGTCAATGTCCATTTGACCCGATAAATATTGGCCAATCTTTATCAAAACAGGCATGATTATTCATTAGCCCGATCCCGTTCTCTATGTAAAATTCCGTGATGTTTGGGCCATAATTGCGACCTATGTAGCGACCAGAACTGTGGCCTGTATCGTGTTTACAAATTATAATGCACAGACGGACGGACACAAATGTCTAGATCGAATCAACTAGTCGATATATGACGATCGGTATACATAAAGTTGGGTCTAGGGCCAATATTTCGCGGCGTTACAATATTGGAGCTACCAGAAAAATTGGACTAATATTTATAATTTTTTGTGGAGAGATTTGGAACCCATTAAGAAGGAAAAATACGATTGAAAACTCCAAAATACTGAAAATTGGAAGGAACCCTTATATTGGACAAAAGACAACCCTTAACCGTCATTCTGAAACCTTTACCATTTTTATACCCTACACAACTATGTTGTCAGGGTATTATAGCTTTGTGCTGCCCCAAAAGTTTGTAACGCCGCGAAATATTGGTCCTAGACCCACCTTTAAGTATACCGATCGTCATTTCTCGAGTAGCTGAATCGATCTAGACATGTGTGTCCGTCCGTCCGTCTGTCCATTATAATTTGTAAACACGATTCAGACCACAGTTATGGACCAATCTTCACGAAATTTTGCATGTAGGATGGGTTCTGGCCAATGAAGACCCCTATTGTTTTTGGAAAGGATCGGTTAATATTTAGGGGATGAAATGGACGAAAAACTTAATTTTTGTCGGTTTTTTTGTCGCTCCAGAGGCCGCAATTATGGCCCAAACACCGCGAATTTTTGCATGCAGAACTGGATCGGACCAAAGAATAAGCATGCCATATTTAGCGGGTCAAATAGACCCTGACTTTTGTGTGAAAAATGGCAAAATTTGTAGTCTATACCGTATATATTTACTTCTGAAGGACATAGACCAAAAATGTTGATAGTATATCCAAGAGGAGTGGTTGACCTTTAAATTGATACCAATTATGTTGTCGTAGGTACTCGGATGCGGGAGTTACACTTAAATATTTACAGGTGCTTACGTATCCATATATTATTTAGTAAGCTATTACCACACTGGAGGGCGGAAATATAGCGCTGATCGCTTTGAAATGTTCCATGAGGTTCCAGTTATGGTCAAGGACAACGCCTAAAATGTTAGGTGATGATCAGATAATAATTTTTCGGATGAAGTGAACCAAAAACATAATTATTTGTACTTGTCGAGTCGAAAGCCGAACATCACAACACAACCCACGGTGAAGGGAATCTGGACAAGTAATTAGAGGGGCTGTGCTGATAATTAGTAACATTTGCTGACCTCTAGCCAGTCAAAAGTGTGCAAATATCGCGAAATATTGCCCAATCTCAGAATATAGAGCTACAGAAAGTTAGATTTTCATGGAAGTTGTGTAGGTTATCGTATGGTCGGCCCCGTCCGACTATACTGCTCCGCTCACTGGTTTATATATATATATATATATATTCTGAACCAATTTCAGCGAAACTAACATGAGCACGTTTTGTGCCTATGGTCATATTTTAGGTCTTGGTGCACCATTTTCTTAAACTCGCACGGAACTATATATGGGAACTACACCTTAATCTGAACCGACATAACCTAACTTGACACGTCTTATGTTATATATATCAGTACAGTGTACGAAATTATGTGCCAATCGGCCAAACTTTGGGTCTTTAGAGCACAATTTAACGATTTTACATTAAATCGGACGAAAATGTATATGGGAGCTAAGTCTAAATCTGAACCGAATTCGCGAAACTCAGCACACATCATTCTAGACTTAATTCAATACGCTATGTCAAATTTCGTGTAAATCGAAGGATATATAGGGGCCTTGGTGCTCCATCTACATAAAATCGGACGAATATATGTATATATAGGAGCTATATCTAAATCTGAACCGATCTGAAATGAGGTGTACCATCGGATTACAAATGCGACCTGTACTTTGTTTACAATTTAACATCAACATACGGACGGACGGACGGTCCACTCTTGTAGTGTATAACCGCTAAATTGTAGTAATTTGGTTCATAGGGGTTTGATGTAGGTCAACGTTTTTACCCAGCCCTTTAAAAAACCATGGATCGGCAGCTTTATATAGCCCTATTTTTCTCTCGAAGTACCTGTAATTTTGTATTTTATGTCCTACTCCAGTATTCTTACTTAGCTTTTTCACTTTTTCACCACACTGTGGTACAGGGTATTATGGCTTTGTGCATATGTTTGTAACAGGCAAAAGGAAACAGGATAGACCCATGGTTCCTTTTGAGAATCACTTTCTGAGTCGATTTATGCATGTCTGTTGATGTTAAATTGTAAAGAAAGTAAAGGTCGCATTTATCATCTGATTTGGATGAAATTTGGCACAGCTCATTTATTTGGCCGAAGGACGAACCCTATTGAAATTGGAAAAAATCGGTTCAGATTTAGATATAGCTCCCATATATGGTTTCGACCGATTTGAGGTAAATGGTGCACCAAAGTCCCTAAATATCTTTCGATTTGCACGAAATTTGGCACAGCGTACTGAAATAGGTCTAGAATGATGTATGTTGAGTTTCGTGAAAATCGGTTCAGATTTACATATAGCTCCAATATATATTTTCGTCCGGTTTAAGGTAAATGGTGCGCCAAAGTCCCCAAATATCTTTGGATTTACATGAAATTTGGCACAACGGACTAAATTAAGTCTAGAATGATTTCGTGGAAATCGGTTCAGATTTAGATATAGCTCCCATATATATTTTCGTTTATTGATTTTCATCATTTTGTCCCATTGTAAGAAGCAACTCCATATCTGAACAAATTAAAAATTTAGTATATGTTTCGGAATGACCTGTTTATGGATCCAATTTCAAACATGCGACGTCTGTTAGGATTCATCTGTTGAATATACCCTAAGTGCTGAAGGGTATCATATAGTCGGCCCCGTCCGACTTTACTACTGGTTTTAATAAATGTCCCAATCTTGGTTATAATACATATGAATCTTTTAAATGTTTCTCTTCTTATATTGTTTGCTGGGTTCGCCAGAATGCCCATAATAACCAGCCATTAAGTGAAAATGATCATATAGTCGGCCCCGTCCGATTTACTACTGGTTTTAATAAATATCCCAATCTTGGTTAAAATACATGTAACTCTTTAAATGTTTCTCTTCTTGCGTTTTTTGCTGGGTTCGCCAGAATGCCCATAATAACCAGCCATTAAGTGAAAATGAGCAAAAAATATATTTTCGTCACGAAAATAAATAAACTCAGTTTAGTTCGGTTCGGTGTTTTATTTGGCAAAAAAACACTAATACCGGCGTGCAACGTCAACACTTCTGATTTTGTGCCAGGTTCAAGGCTACAATAAACGTCAACAAGGACGCTAACGAACTAACGAACGAACCTGCCAGCCAGCCAACCAAAAACATAAATCTGGTTAAAACAGGACTAAAAAAAAATATATAGCAAAAAAGTGAACTAAAAGACTTTAAGTGATTCGTGCACGTGAGCATTATAATGTTGATGACAGTTTTGTGTTTTTCAGCTTTTTGAGATTTCTTTGGTGTCACTTTAATTTGGTCATATTAGGGAGAGACATGTTGGCGAAAAAAAGAGCACCAACCAAGTAGACACGCATAAAACTCAGCTGGCTTATAAATGTTGAAGACTAGTAAAAATAAAAAAAAACACGGGCTAAAAAAACGGCCAATAAAAATACTAAGAAGAACCATTAAAATTTTTCACGTTACTGCCGTTTAGTTGGGCAAGAAAAAAAAAACCAACAACAACAAAATAATATCAGAAAAAAATGGCCTAGCAGGACTTATGAGTGTTAATGTGTTTCAGGGTTGTTGTTTTTATTTTTATTGGCAAAAACAAAAAATATATATATCTAAATTGTTAAATATGTTGTTTTGTGTGTGTGTTAAGGCCACCGCACAGGTGAAATTGTGTTTCAATAAATCTGCCAGCGACTAAAAATCGGTTGACATTAAACAGTCATAAAACACTTCCGTTTCCGTAAAGACATTGCCGACGCTTTTACGAACCGTAAACACAAACACATTATACCACCCACATCCGAACCCTCTAACCCCAATCTCTAGTCATTTGAATTTTTCGTTATTTTGTCACCCAAAAATTGTTTTTGGAAATTGTGTCCTTTAATTATTAAAAGCCATAATCGTTAAATAAACACGAGAATGACGATGGAGACGACGAGGAGAACGACGACGATGACGACGCCAATGTCATCCGCCAAGTCATGTCATAATTTGGGTTTCATTAAAAAGTTAAAAGGTTTTAGCAAACTTTCACGCTTCGTTGCCAGGCGTAATGTGAAAATCGGTATCCGTCATATTAACAGGTAAGTGGGTGCTGCATGGCTTGCTGGCTGGCTGTTGAACTACTGTTTGTTGTTATAGTTGTTGTTTGTATTTTTATTTTTAATATTTTTTGTCAATTTCCTTGTTTGCTTTCATGTTGT